AAAGCAGGAGACTTCTTCTGAAGGGAAGCAGAATTGTTATACAAAATCACTACAAGACCGTGCAACGCAACTTGGCCATGTGGGACACCAGGGAATAGAAAAGACTAAAGCGCTATTACGAGAGAAAATTTGGTATCCTGGAATGGATAGTAAAATTAAAACCTTCATTGAAAACTGTGCGGCTTGTCAAGCTGTTGGTCCCGGTAGTCCACCTGAACCGATGAGGATAACGCCTACAGCAACGGAGCCATGGCAAAGCTTGGCACTCGATTTTTATGGTCCTATTCCCCCAGTGGACAGTATTTACTTGTTGTAACCTACACGTATTCTAAGTTTGCTGAAGTGAAAATTGTGAAGTCAACTTCAGCGAAAGCCTGTATCCCTAAGCTAGACCGTATATTTGGAACTCACGGCATTCCAAAAACAATTAAAACTGATAATGGCCCACCTTTTAATGGAAATGACTTCAAAAGATACATGGCTGCCTTGAGAATGGAATGGACCAGAAGCACTCCGTTATGGCCCCAAGGGAATGGTAATGCCGAGAGTGTGATGAAGCCGCTAGAAAAAGGGTTAAAGACTTCTGTGTTAGAGGGAAAGAATTGGAGACAAGAACTTCAACGATTCTTATTAAATTATCGCTCAACGCCGCATGCCACTACTAAGATACCTCCATGTGAGTTACTGTTCAACCGAAAGGTTCAAGGAAGTCTACCTGAGCTATCAACAAAGAAAATCGTTAACAAGCATCAAAGCGCTAAGGAAAACATTGAGAAGAGGAAGATCAGTAATAAGCAATGTTATGATGTCAAGAATAACACCAAAACATCCACAATCAAGGAAGGTGACATTGTTATTTGCAAACAAAACCAATCAACAAGCTATCTCCTAGATTCAATCCTGAGCGATTTACGATTGTGAAGAGGAAAGGAGCAACAGCCACAGCTAGAAACGACAGACGTACTATCACACGCAATGTGTCTCATTTCAAAGTAGTTAAACCTGCGGATGAACAAAGTAGTGACGAAGAGAAGCCCAAAAACGTAGATGATGCACGGGGTAACGGAGTCGAAGATGAGAATCATGAGATGCAGGATATTGTAGAACACCAATCACCACGAAGAAGATCAACGAGAAAACAACAACCTGTAAACAGATTTGGTAACCCAATATCACCTGGACTAGTGTCCTAGAACTTAAAAATACTGGGAACAATAACAAACATTTCATAGTTATTCAGTTGAGTTTTAAAAAAAAAAAAGAGAAAGCAATGTAATGATTGACGTTATTAGGCGGGAGCATGGGAACGAGAGGGATACGAGAAAGGACAGCGCGTTAAAGTTTGAGGAAGTTTTGTAGTTAAAAATATAAAATATGAAATCAGAGTGTGTTTAATTATTTCAGATATGAGAGCTGGAACGAGCTTCTAACGCCAACCCACATTTTAACCCACAACGCTGATTGGTTGGTAAGGATCAGCCCACTCTGGTTGATGACGTATGCAGATGTCCCTCAACCGTTACAATAAAAGGGCGTGGACAACACCCGAACCTTAACTGGACTAAATGAAGTGGACACAAGAACTTCGAACTGAACCCCGAGACGAAGTAGACCAACACAGTGGACTAGCGGAGTAAAAATCATGTGAAACGTTAGAGAAGCTCAATCTTTACAGAACCAACGACCAAAGACAAGAACACAAAACAAGAAGTAAAGAAAAGAAGAACGAAGAAAGAAGAGAACTTTAAGAACATTCGTCAAACCTTGTAAAGATCCCCTACCTTGCGTAAATAGAAAATAAAAGACTCATCACACAATATTCGATTTGGATGCATAAAATTGCCTTTTTTAATGTAAGCCATAAGCCTCTAGAGATCCCCTCGCTACGCTTCTCTTATTTTATTTAATACCTCTACTTGATATAAATTAGTGGCAAAAAAAATTTAATAATAAAAAAAAATTAATAAATTTAAAAGGCATGTTAGCTACCTATTAAACCTATTCCATCATAGATCGCTTTATGCGTAACTCACAGCGCTGATTCTCAGCTGTCTTTTGGTGGCGATCTTGTCACCCAGAGTAGACATAAAATGCTGCGTTTCTCTAACACAACCGCCAAAAGCACTGAAAATCACTCAAATGAATGAGCCATGCTCAACCCCCACTACTCTCTCGTTATACAAACAACGCCTTTTCTCTTTCTTGTTGTTGTTAAACAAGCAGGCGAGGCTTTGGTTTCGATGTGTTGAGGTGTATGGGTATACCCTGACTTTAAAAAATGCCTTTTCACATCTTTGCCAAAAAGCCCGGGCAGCGATATCAATATCATACATCATATCCAGTGTTGGCGCTAGGTGGTACATAGTATTTCGCCAGACAACCGAGTAAGCAGGTTCGGCTGAAACATCGTGGGTCACGTGGATGGTGGCTGCTAAAAGTTACGTCTATTTCATCATGATCACTGCCGGGTAGATAAAGCCTCTTTTTAAACAAGACATTCCGTGGTCAACTGTTAATGGCTTGCCACAAGCACAGTGTGATGGTAACCGCTTCAATTGCCAGCGATACCGGAGCTAGACGGCATCGAAAAATTCCCGTTTACTCAGCATGAATCCTTCTTCTATACGCTTATACTTGCCGCAAGGCAGCGAACCAAATCGGCGAGCTTTCAGCTGGGCGGTGTCATTTGCACGGATCTGTTTTTTCGTAATGCGTTAACGCAACTCTTCCATGCAGTTTTTCTCTGTAACTAGCCTCCCGTTCTCCTTCGACGAATCTCAGGAAATACCTTCGCGGTGTGAATCGGAAATATTTCGTTCTTTCAAGTGATCATCATTCAACCAAAATAGGTATGCCGAGACGTCCGATCAGAATCGCTGGAATGACGTGGTAGGTGGTAAAACGGTGATGGAAACCTGCCACGAATATGGTGTATGCTGCCTGAGGTTCGTACTTTGTCTCAGACCTCAGAGCACATAGTTGATTGCACCAACTGTCCACCAAAGACTTTACGTACGCCTGCCTCCCTGGTTCCTTATTTGAACCGATATATATATCCACCAAGGTACATGTGACCATCAGTGGTGATCTGGACATCAGTCCCAGCGGAGATTGTTTTCACAGTATCAAATAGATGAGATTTCACATCAAGCAAAGATTTTACCCCTCGTGGATACAGAGTAATTATATTCTCCCTTCAAGTGCAACTTCCCGGCGCCACTAAGGTCATCAGCAAAAGCAACGTTTCTCACAGAGTTTGTTTGCCAGTCCTTGATTAAAACATCTGTTTCTTTCTCCGCAAAGATGTGTGATATAGATTGCATGTCCCGGTGTTTTCCACGATGTGGGGTTTGATGCTGTAGATAATCCAACTATTCTGCGAAGGATCCCCAATATGGGATTAGACGGCAGGACAGGCAGGCTTCAAGGCTTGTTGACTGTTTTCTCGTCAGAGATTTTCTTATAGTGGCTTAAGAGTCTTGCCATGGATGCTAGGGACGATCACAGATCTTTTCCAGCATCACCATAGTTGCATGCGGGAAACTAGGATATATCTCCAACCTATTGCATCCAGGCCGGAAGGATCGGCAGCGTCTTTGGTGTTCGTGGCGGCTTTGGCGATGCTTGACACGTCAATGTCCGCCAACTAGATCGACAAAAGGTATACATCTCAATGACACTTCACAACGGGATTGCTCCACTTCGCGGAGGGGTGATACTTTTTCAAATCTTGTAATGTATCTTCTGTTGAAGGCAACACACCTCCAGGGAATTCCTGGTCAAGAAGTCGTCATGCTGTTAACTTTTCCCTGTTACATAAGTTTTGCAGACATTCGCTTAACTAGACGGTATGGACGTCCTACATTCCCTCAACAGCACTTCGAAACTTCCTCGTTCCTATTGATCTAAACGTTGTTTCAACAAGTTGAATGTTTCTTAGAGCGAGAATTTAGACGCGGCTTCGGTAGCAGGATAGCAACAATAATCATTACTAGCTTTAAAGCAAAGTCTTGTAAATTGTCTTGCAATATATGTCTTGCTCTATACTCACATTTCCAGCCATCCAATAGTCGCATACAGGAATTCATATGTAGCGAACGACCACGTTCCGAGCTAAAGGATTTTTGACATAATTCACAAGAAAATTTCCGTTCTTCGTCTCCTGCTCGACATAGTCTTGTTTAAAGCGCGCATCTCACACAATGGGAAAACCTGCCCTTTCACCAAATCACCTTGCACGCTCCCAACAAATTTAAGGTACGAATTCGCAATAAAATAACGACAAACTTCGAAGAAAACGCAAAATATTCAAGTGAATAATCTCCAAATGATAGGAACAATTGTCGAAGTTATGATCCAGAATTCCTTAGCTACGTTATTGCACAGTGTGAAATCTATATCACTGCAAAAAGCGTGCAGATTTTGCAAAAATCATGGCGCAATAAAAATAGTGTTTTGACGCCTTAGTCATCACGCTTAATTAATGTTTCCATGGAAGGCCAACTGAGCTTTAAATTTCACTCTGGCCTTCAAAGGTTTGGAGTTAGGGAATTTAAAGTTTCCTTTCACTCAAAATATCCCAGGATAGTATATAAAAATCACAGCGTCTCTTCGTCGTTTTCCGTTCACTCAAACATTCAAGGTTTTCTCTTTTCCCTTCAATTCGTTTCATTTAAAACATCCGGGACACAATATAACAACCACAGTGTTTGTTCCTCGTTTCCTTTAACTCAAAACATCCTTGATTTCCTCATTTCCTTTCATGCAAAAATCCCAGGTAAGCCTGAGTTCCTTGATGCTCGTTCCTTAATCCGTCACAGGATGCAAACACTTTTTTTCAATGACGTCAAATGCGAGATGCAATTGTCACACGAAAAATGTCAATTTTAATCATTTCCACTCTTACTTAATTGTTGAACTTTTAATGTACAACCCATTTGACGCTCAGCGTTTTAAGGTAAAGGATAAAACTAAACAAACAAAAAATTAAAATCACCTACCTCGCTCGGGTCCAGCTGTTGGTTGTCAATTGGGCAAGTGTGAACGTTTGCCCTAGAAAAAGTCAAAATACATCAATTTTCCGAAGACCTAACGTCATCTTCAGTATACATAAAATATGTATATAATTATATATTATAAAGTTTTAGGGGTGGCGGAGGGTTGGTAACTTTCGTCGCTTGCAATGTTAAAGAATATAATTCATGCCGACGGATTTCCTTAAAGGGTCCAATCACTGACAAAATCCACAGTTGTAGACTTATTTAAAAAAGAGTAAAAGGGCTGTTGCAAGTTACGCAGAAACAAGGCAAGTCAGATTTCTTCATAATCATTCGTTTAGGACTAGGACTCTTTCAGAAATTTAAAAATCATTCGTCATTTAAATGAAGTTGGCTACCAAAAATATATAGCATTGTGTTTCCTAAACGGTTGTTATTAAACAAATTAGTTCAATAAGCTACTATAAACTAAAACTAAGCGACCAGTATATTTAAAATGAAAAATTTGAATCTTGAAACTCGTCGATCCACGAAATCATCACGATGTAGATATACTCAACGTTAGCTGATTTTACAGTAGCTTACAGAACACATATGAACAACCGTTTTTTGAAACATATTCTTTTTAACTTTTGACAACTCGCCATGAGTTTTCAGTTTCGGTAAGATGACGTTAGAGGGCTGGCTGTTTTAGGATCAGAATCATTGCATTTTGCACAAAGCTTGTGGTCTAACTTACAAGTGTCTATTGATGCACGCTCCACAAAAGCGATGTCCACATCCTGTTTGAACAGGATTACGTAATACCAGCATACATATGGGACATTCGAAATCTGCGCTCACGTTTTGATCAAAAACTTCGTCATAACCATCGACCCTATCTAAGTTCTCAGCATTGGCGGCGATTGCTTGGTCACTTGCCGGAACTCTCGCTTGGTCACTTTCTCCGCTATTGGCCGCTGAATTACCGCGTTCTGCATTGTTGTCTGCTTGAGGTGGTAGATTCGCTGGAAGACTTGGACTTTCCACATAGGCCTCTTGTTCCTCATTCATTATGTTTACCGCTTGGTGTGCGAGATTCCGGTAATGACGATTTGACATAATCGTCACGGACCAATGAACAAAACTGGATAATAATATTAAAGTACTTCATGTTAGGACGTATATTTGAAGGAAAATACAAAGATAAATTCTAAAACTTTTTATCATGATTCATGACAGAAAACTAGACACTGAATGGAGCCGCAATGATGTTGAATAGCAAAAATTGATGTTGAATTGCGAACATTTTCGTTGTCAAATGTCAAGTTAGCTAGCTTCAGTGAACTGAGCTCTTTATATATAAATATGGGCCAAATATCTTTTTCATTGTATTGACCGGAAGTGATGGTTCCGCTAACCTTGGATTATTCCCATTGTGTTTTTCTAAATTTTAAAAGAGCAAGAATGGAAATAAAGTTGATTCATTTTATAAAAAAATCTGTTTCTTTGCATTTAACCAATCTGGGTACTGTATTTTCCAACTATACTGTCTATCTTGTATATAATGTGAATTTTTTGCTGTGAAATCAGCTACGCAGTTCAAACGTGACAAAAAAAAGTTTGTTGGTAAACTAAAGACCAGCGAAGATGTCATCCTAAATTATTCTATAAAATTTCAGTAACTCGACGCGGATTAGATATTATACTGGATAATCAAACAATCAAACCAATCGTAATTTTTCCATTTAGGTGGATGGTCTGCTCAGAAATATACTTTGCATTTTACATTTTATAATAATTTCATGATCTCTTTAAGAGTCTAGTGATAAAAACTATGGTCTATGCTGTAAAACATTCATTTCATCAGATGAAAATAGTTTATGTTAACTATTTTCTTTAATAGTTCACTACTATGTCTATTGTGTAATTCTCCATAATAAAAGATTTAGGTCTTGGTTAAACATCGCATTTTGGTCGCGTCGAGTGCGGTTCAAACAATAGATAATAAGATGTTGAACCTCATTAACATCTAATTATCTATTGTTTAAATTGCATTCGACGCGACCAAAATGCGACGTATAAACTGGGCATTAGACGTGTCGTTTTAAAACCTGGTTCTCATGTCACCGACCGTCGGCGATGGCTATTGTCGTTGAAGTGCTGACAACTGATGTCTGATGAATGAACTGCATCCACAAACAATAATGAATACGTCGCCGACTGTCGACGACACATGAGAATCAGGCTTACAAAACAGTTTTTTGGCGAATTTTAAATATGTTAAGAAGTAAATTCAAAGATGTTTGTTTGTCATGCCGCATCAATTCTTTTGTCGCGTTACGAGTTTTGGACAATTGTTCTCCGCATGCTATCCTGATTTTTGTCATGAACAGCATAATTCTATGCTGGTGGAAAGATTAGTAGTAGTTAGTAGTTAAATGTTGTTGTTATATGGCAAGTTTCGAAGTTCATCTGTTCCAGAATCTGATTGGTTAAAACTACCTCACGTGAAAGGCGGGAAATCCGAATGTTTACCCCAAAATCTTGTCAAACGTTTCTCTGCCTACGTTTTTGTGCCATATTTTTACCCGTTGTTTCCTTTGAAAAAACACTTATTGACTGAACTCCTCGGGAAACATTATGTTTTGACAGTTTTTGTGGACCCTCGACCACTTTGTTAGTGGTCAAGGGTCCACAAAACATGATGTTTTCCCTCGGTATCAGTCAATATGTCTTAAATATTATTCGACTAAACCCCTCCCTGGACTAAACATTTATTTGAAGCATTTACTATTGTAACTGCTGCAAGCTATTTAAGAAGCTACTCAATTTAAACCATATACAAGTAGACATATAACTTCTATCATGTGATACAACTGAACTAAAATATTTTGGATACACTTTAATACTATTTTGGCAGACTCAATGGAAACTGACTTCCTGTAATTCTTTCAACCCCCCTCCAAAATGCCAGGTATGCAAAAATATTTCTAACAATCTCCTATTCTCTAATAAATTTTAATTGCTTTTGGAAGATGAGTATTTTTTAAAAATAACACAATGCCCGATTTAGGGTAAAGCAGATGAAATTTCCAAGATAGATCTTCTTTAAAAAATCCACAACCAAAACATTGTTGTTAAGCCATTTTTAATTTGAATGTTTGGAGTTTGCAACTCTAAGTGCGCAAGAATTTTTTAATAACCTATATAACAAAGGCACCCAGTGGCAAGATCACATAGTAAATACTGCCGACATAGATAAGGGAGAACATTGAAGGACTTTTGAATGGTTAACAGTATTAAGATGTTCGTTTTTTTTGTCTTTCCTGCACTAACTCTGAAGAGGGAAATCTGATATTGACAACTGAACTAAAGCCATTGTTGTTATATAGAGTTATATAGAGCTCACTGGAACTAGCTTATAACATTCATTAATAATTTCTGATTAAAATCAATTAATACAGGCAACATGTCAAGCAGAAAACACCAATACTAATTCAGTAAGAGGTTTACATATAGGTGAATTGGACATTTGACACATAATATGCTATGATAAATAACTCTCCAAGTTAAAACGTATGGCTAAAACAAAAACTAAAAAAAAAGTAGATTCATAAGAAAATTTTCAATAAGAGTAGCTGCCATAATTTTACTGTCATCATCTTTTGGTTTAAAAGTAAAATTGAAAATAAGCGAATAACCAGGAATGCTTTCAACATTAATTGAATTCTTGGAAGCAACTATGCAATATGCCTCAGACTGAATTATGAAACCAAATTTGACTTATCAGAAACGTCACTTCTGGTGTAAATACTGGGTAAAAATATGGGTAAAACTCCACAATTTATTTCTGGTTGATATCACCCCCCTCCTTTCTCAAACATAGTGTAATAACGCTGCATCAATTTGCTCAACATTAGGCCCTTAACAATTAGAGCTCAAATAACATAAGTCGTCAATGAAAATTCGTTTTCGTTTCCCTAACATTACTTTGATCACGGCAGTTCTATTGGGTCTTTATAGTGTAAAACTATAAGCCAGAAATTGCTGAGAAAGCACATTTTAAAATGCTTAAGGAATGTGAAAAGAAAGGCTCCACAATTTATAATTGAATACATTCTCGAAAATATACAAACCTTAATATCGCTACATAATCCTGCGGCAAATTTCATTTGGTCAAAGGATTGAAATCTTTATATTCTTGTAGAGAAATGTATAACAATTTAGTTGGTGTTCGTACAATTTTCACACTCAAATTTCCAAACTTTCACTCCGTCGTTTGGGGAAATCCCTCAAACGCCACGCCATTGCAGTATTGTATTCTGATAGTCTGATTACAGAGAACCAGTGAACTCTAAAAAGACTGGAACGATAACTCAACAATAAAGAGTAGTCATTGGATGAAACCGATTTGAATATAATTTGTTGATTAAGGCGGCAGCCGCGCGAGCAAATCAAGCCTTCAAAAGAACTGGGGAGAGTAAGAATTCCGTAAAAATCGTATTTTTTGGCAAGAAATTGCCAGAAAAGTGCAATTTTTATTTGACCACTTCAACTTTAAACAACGAATATACCCTTTTTGGATAGACCTAAGTAATCCGCATCATCTTACTGTAAAAACCGGCGAGGTACCAGCTTTGTACTTGAAATATTTAAAGAATTTGAACGGGCCAAAAAAAAAACTTCGCCTTCAACTCGCAAAAAAATAGGTTTGCACCTTTTCACTTTCATAAAACTTGTTTTTTAGTAAAATCTAAGTGCCAATGCTTGTTTTAAGCTTTTATTCATGATCAGATGACATGGATTTGTATTTTGTGTATAAAAACCGGCGTTGTTTTGGTGGTGTAATTTCAACTCTTGCCCTTCATGGCGGCCATCGGCCAAGTTATCGTTCCAGTCTTATTAGAGTTCACTGCAGAGAACTGATCAGCTGAAGCAAATCTCAATCCCCGAGCCCGCGATTTCCTGGGATAATCCAATCAAAAGCCTGGCTTCCGGTTTGTAAAAGGTTTGAATTACATTACAATATTCCAACAATGATTCCAACAGCGTGAACGCACTCCGCGCGTGAACGACCAATCGAATCATTTCTCATTTCGATTATTCCGAACAGGGAGCCAGGCTACGCTATGGAGATCAGTGAACTCCAAATATACGGAAGGTCGTGGAAGGCTGAATCACTGGCTGAACTCAATAAAACTGGCACGATAACACCAAAATAAAATCCAGTCATTGGATGAAACCGATTTGACTATAATTTGCTGATTTGGGGTGGAATAACAAGGAGGAACTTCCTTTTAGACCAATGAACAAATTTCCTTATATTTTCAGTGACCCAATCAGAACGCATAAATGTTTACCAGTTCCGGTGAAAATAAACATTATTTATCGCTTTACATGAAGTATTAAACATTTTGATTCACTTGAGATGTAAACAAATAAACCCTTTCGATAATTACGGCACAACATTATCGTTATAAATTTAGAAAAACCTTAAATGCGGAAATGTGACCAATAAATGTGGAAATAAGTCGTAAGACTAAAACGAGGCTACCAGGTGACAACCGGCAGCCTTGTTCTTGTGTAATGGCTTATTTTTACACTTGTTTGTCAAAATCAAAAATTTTTTTCACGCATGTGTTAAAGAAGCCAAGAAGGATGTTTTGCATCTTTGCACATAGCTTGTGAGAGTAAAATTTGAAATCCCTCTCAGTTAAGGTGGTTCTAAATTAAAAACGATAATGTTGTGACGTAATTAGCTAGGGTCTGTTGGCCTGTTATAAGGCCTTGTTACACGGTGCAAATTTTTTTGCAACTTGCAATGCAATTCTACTTTTAAGCCATGTAATGCAAATTTAGCCTTTCTCACGATGACGAATATGCCGCCATTTTAGGGGTACTTTTTTCAAAAACCGTGAGCGTAAGACTTGGTAACGGCGACTGTCTTTAATTTTAGGCTGAATTTATTCTTTAAATGGTCTGTTTATTTTAAAAAAAATGCTTTTGATGTTTAAACATAATTTTTAAACCCATTTCAGAAAATTAAAAGTACCCCAAAACGTCATCGTGAGAGAGGCTAATTAGCGAAGAGTTCTCAAAATGTAAGTGTAAGAAACGCCATGGAGTGTAATAAAGACAAAAGTTTGGTAGTTGCCAAATTTACATCTCTCAAAAGAAGAATTGAATTGCAAGTTGCAAGAAAAATTGCTCCGTGCAACAGGACCTATAGTTCAAAACGAATTTTTTTCCTTGTTGGGGAGAAAGCAACCAGAACGAAGACACCCATCATTTTTGAAGGGGGGAGGGGTGGTGATATTGACATTTAATTAGCTTGGTTGAAGGCTATTATGTATAGACCAATGGTATAGACCTTCGAGCTTAAAGATACAAATTTACACAGTGAATTTAAAAAAGCCAGGAGAGATAACACCGCCGCCATCTTGAGGCCAAATTGAAGGCCATTGCCATTCACAGGTCGAAAATCCACCATATTTTCGTTACTTATTTTCTTCCTAGTTTTTCAGTTAATAGTAGCGGTAGAAATATAGTCTAGAAAGTTTCAACCTTACCTACTATTTTGTGAAAAAACATTCTCGATGGAGGAAATCAAGTTTAATAATTAATTTGTTGCTGTAGAAAGCAACGGCGCGTTTAAACTTGTGCAAGATCAGGGGTCATCCTAAGGCCTAATATCCAAGCATTTGTAACTGGAAAATGGGTAGTTCTAAAAATTGAGTTTTGGATAGAAAACTTTGAATTCCCAAGATAGTTTCCATATATAAAAGCACCCAAGTGATAAATAACGTTATAGTTAATACTTCCCAGATCAACTTGTGATTACACAAAATTCACCGTTAAAATCTTTTTATACACCTGGGGCTGGTTTTATAAAACTCTTAACTACGTTTTAACTACTTTTTAACCACCCAACTGTAGTTAACATAGTTAACTTTAATCACGTAGTTAAGCCGGTTGTATAGGAGTGTAGTTAGCCTTTACTCTACAGGGTGTATCAAAAAAAACGCAACCACTTAATATTCATGAATATCCTCTTTGTTCTACAACACAAAAGACGTTTGGCCCCTGGAATGCGAGAAAGCTTGTAATCATATTCTAGCGGCACAATCGTCGGTAAACAAAGTCGGGTGCGTAAACCAACGAGCTGAATTGAAAGTATTTAACGAGCAAAATTTTATTTACAATTTATTTTACAAGGTCGACAGTTAGCATTCAAGTTATCATGCACGACAGTAAAAACTCGTTGTTCGGTTGTTAGCTGCACCATTATTAGTTTAGCTGATTTGACTATTAGCAGTTGAACTGTACGATTAGAAGCCATTTTGAAATCCCAGGGGCATAAAATCTATTGAGCTTATGAACAATATGAATTTTAGAATATTAAGTGGTTGCGTTTTTTTTGAGACACCCTGTACAGGGTGTCCCAAAAAAAACGAAAACTATTGAAATCACTCATTGTTAAAATTTGAATGCTGTGTTCACGAATTTCAGCCCGTGGGGATTTAATGCAGCTTATAAAATGCTAAATGCTTTTTGCTGCTAGAGAAAGGGGACATGTCGAAGAACATGGTCCTTGAGATGCCCATTTAAATAATGTTATCCATATTTGTAAATTGTAAATATTGTTAATAAATATCATTTTTGCGAACAAGCAAATTTGACTGCATCATGATGCATGCATAAAAATGCTTATGGCAACCCCGATTTATACACTAGTGGGCCCAACAGAGTGCTTAGGCATTCAAACTCTAACAATGGCATTGTTATGGGTGATTTCAATAGTTTTCAGTTTTTTGGGACACCCTGTACAGGGTGTATCAAAAAAAAGGAGACCTTAAGAAATCAAGCTATTGTTAAAATTTGAATGCCTTTTCAATTGCATTTGCACATATGCTGAACCGTAGTGCGTGCCGAAATATTGATATGCATGCATACATTAGAAAATGAATTGACGTTTGTATACACAAGATTGTCTGCTCCTGGGAATTTGAAAATAACTTTAATGGCATAAGGAAAAATAACGACCCAAAAATATTCAAATGACTAAGCACACTACCAGTACAAAAATGGTTCAACTGACTTCGGAGCAAAGAGTTTTTGTAGTCTTTATACCCAGCCTGCCGTCATCAGAAAAGCAGTTCGCGATATGCACAAGCGTACGGAAGTTTGTGTTGAGAGAAATGGGGGCCACGTTTGAGGTCATGGTCCATGACATTCAGTTCTTTTGATGTTCAATTTATCAGTAATTTTCAATTTGGATCGAAATGTTAAGTGAATCTGTGTCAGATCAAGTTGTAATTCATTCCTGACTCATGTAAACATTTTAATAATAGCCAGGGTTTGTAAAATGGGATACTGAGCCATTCCGGATTCAAAGTCAATCTAACTCATTTGAACAGCCCTAATACTCGCGCGCAGTGTTAAAAATTAATGAACAAATATTTGTTCATGTTTTGAAGGAACAGCTAAAACAATCTACCACGCATGCTGTTATTGCTTTTGTGCTTAGTCGTTTGTGCTTAGTCATTTGAATATTTTTGGGTCGTTATTTTTCCTTATGCTATTAAAGTTATTTTCAAATTCCCAGGAGCAGACAATCTTGTGTACAAACGTCAATTCATTTTCTAAAGGTCTCCCTTTTCTAATGTATGCATGCATGCCATCAATATTTCACGCACTACGGTTTAGCATATGTGCAAATGCAATTGAAAAGGCATTCAAATTTTAACAATAGCTTGATTTCTAAAGGTCTTCTTTTTTTTTATACACCCTGTAGTTAAAATCTAGTTAAAGTTAACTATCCTCAAGGGCATCGTTAACTTTCCAAATCGTAGTTAAAAATGGGGTCTTGAGCTTTCGAGGAGTGAGAAAACATTACAATCAATACATACCAAGGTTGTCAACCGTTATACACTCAGAAAAGGCCCCGTCGAAGCTTGTAAACTTTCAATATGCTTTTATCTTTGTCGTACTTCATGCTATTTCTCTGTTTAACAACCCCACGCAAGCTCCACGCAAGTTAACTACGTGATTAGTTAATCATCCGACAAAACTACGTTTTCAATCAATCAATCGATTTTATTCGCCACTGTTTAGCGAAATTTACAAAATAAGGATATAAATATACAAAAATTTGGATTACACACATTTAAGATTGTCAGTTTGAATCAAGTTATTAGTGAACGGCAACCAGAGGAGCATAAGCTTTGTGCAACGCAGTTAAGTCGTGTAGTTAACTAATCATAGTTAAGGATTTAACTACAGTGATTAGCGCTAATCATAGTTA